AAAAAATAGCTAATGATTTTTATGCAATGGGACAATTTAAATTAGGTTTTTTTTATTATTTTGGAAAATGTGTTGAAAAAGATTTAAAAATAGCTTCTAATTGGCATAAAAAAGCTGCAAATAATGGACATTTTTTAGCTATTTTTTTTCTTGGTTTTTTATATTTACATGGAAAAGGTGTTGATGAAGATTATCAAAAAGCTTTTGAATTATTTAAAAAATCAGCTGAAGGAGAACATCCAATCGGAATAATGATGTTAGGATATTGTTACAGTGACGGAATTGGAATAAGTATTGATAAAAAAAGGGCAGTTGAATTACATCAAAAAGCCGCAAATTTAGGAGAGGATGTTGCACAATATAAACTTGCTGTTATGTATGAGAAGGGAGACGGAATCGAAGAAGATATGGACAAAGCAATTTATTGGTATGAACAATCTGCTAAGCAAGGATTTCAAAAAGCTCTAAATAGGTTAATAATACTTAAAAAAAATTAGAAACAATTAAAGATAGTATTTTCTTTTTTTTAAAAATTATCTTTCCAAACATAAGAATTAGTTAAATTATTATGTAATGTTGATTATAGTAAAATTATTATTTATACCTAGTATAATGAACTAATTAATTTTCCATTAAAACGTTTAAATGATTTTACCTTTGAAAAAGAAAATAAATGATACAATATTATCAAGGAAATATTATAGTATATCGCAACAAAAACATTTCTTAAACAAGTGAAGATAAAACGAAGCCTAAAGGCTAAAGTACTGTTTGTTGAACCATTTAGTCAAAAGTAGTTATATATTCTTGAAGTTTTGATTTATCTAAAATAGTGTTCAGACCCGGGTCGTTCCATTATTAATGAATTTTTAATCCGGTTTATTATCGAGTTCAATCCGGGTTAACCGTTATCTTAGCGGATGAACGGATAAATCACGGATGGATAATGGGTGGATAGCGGGTTAATAACGGGTTATTAACGGGTAAATAACATGGATGGATAACGAGTACTGGTATTTTTTTATGTAAAAAAACGTCACGTAACGATTTTATTGTGAAACAATTAACGGATATTGTCATTTCTATATACGATGATCGTAAATATATTAGAGTATTTATTGTATAGGCTTCACAACTAAAAATTAGTCTTAAAAAATCTATTTTTTTTCATAATGAAACAAGTGAATGGACTAACTCAATAAAAAAGATAAATTACAAATAGTGTACGTTTATATTTACAAAAACATTTGAAGTAAGTATAAATATTTTTATCTTTTAAAGGAGTTTTTAACAAACAATAAATTTATAAAATTAGCATAGGAATTAATGATAAATAAATCCGTTATGCAATTTTACCTTATATTACTTTAACAGTTAATTATAGAACGTTTTAAATCAAGAATAGAGTAGCAATAATATCAGAATAAACGTTTCCCACTTGAGTTAATTCAATTGTGAATAAATTACACTCGTTGTGAAGGACTAATATTAGAAAGTGCTATTGGTGATGAAGTAGAGAACCGTGCTACCAATGAACTAGATAATGGTAAATTCGAATCTATTTTTAATGAAAGTAGTGACTAGATAGTGTAACATCAGTGAAATTAGACAATCTAAAATTTCGTTTATAATATGAAGACCCGGATCTCGGCTCAAAAAATTTTATAAAATTGCAACATTTATTAAAAAAAAATTATACCATAAAATATGACAAAATATTAAATATATAAATGTAATCAAAATTCTCTTATCAAATGTTATTTTGACTCTCTAAAACCATGATTTAAATTTAATAATATCATTATGTTGCGTCGCAAAAGTCGAGATTATAAAAATCGGCAATTAATTAAATATTTATTTCTTAATTCTCTAGGAAATTTTATTTATATTTAATTTCCAAAAAAAATGGTGGTATTTAAACATCAAACATTATATTTAATTCTCTAAAAATAATATTAAAGATTAATTTAATTTCTCTTAAATAATTTTTATAAAATCCGAGTTTACAGATTCGCGCCAAAAAAAATTTATAAAAATCATTCCATTACGGATCTTTACCTCAAAATTATTGTGTACTGAAAGAATTCATTCTGCGAGACGAGCAGCGGACACTTCTGTGTCGCTCAGTGTAGAATTTATAGTCCCTTATTTCGCTCCCGACGTTCCGGCGGGCTAATCAAATTAGTATAAGATATATTAAGTATTAAATTAGCTAGGGTTTTATTTTTATTTTATTTTTATGTTTCAGACGAACCAATTCGAAGTACAAATTACAAGGACAACAAATAAATTGAGCCGAAAGTAATTCTATCACTAACGAAAAAACCGCCACAACAGGCAGTGACATCTGACCTTGAAGAAAAGCGAGCAACGGAAAGGATCCTCGACCACCCCCAGAACTCACCCGCCAACCCGGAAAGAAATAAAAAAGAAACAAACCAATCAACTAAAAGAAGATCCGTATTTTAAATTAGCTAGGGTTAATTTATGCTAAATTTTCTATTAACTGTTAAACAAACCACGTGCAATTCACGTGAATTCTTATTATTGTTTTCAACTAATATAATAATATTATTACAGAGTACAGACGTTTCTTGAGCAATCTTTACGAACTCACTGTTAGTAGTTGTTAAAGTTTTAAATTTCTCTTTTTCCCTGCGTCAATTATCGTCTATCATAATTATAACTTTAATTTGCTTATATCACAAAGGTCCTTTCCCTTTGATTTTGTTATCATTTTCTAAGTACAAATACTTCCACTTCATAATCTTGTTATTGTCTATCTCTATTATTTGTTCTAAAGACAAAATATTCTTATTTTTTAACGATACTCTCATTTTACTATTTACAACAGCATTTATTATGATTTTAATTAAACATTTTATTTTATATAACTAAAAATTTACTATAACTTATGCTATAGGATGGAGATAACCAAGAAAATTATCCTTTTATTAGTGTTAATTATAAATGAATAAATACAATAAAAATGAATAATAAAAAAAATAGCAAGAAAGTCTTTTTATTAATGTTAATAAAGAAAAAAATTCAAAAAATTCGGATTTAAAAAAACCGGAACAAAAATATCAAAATAAATCATTAAAATATCGGTTTTAAAAAATCAAAAAAGAAATATTATAAAAAAAAAAGAATTCGATCTAAAAAGACAGAAAAAATATTTGAGGTCTAAACATAAAGACCAAAGGACCGAAAATATTTACTGTAAAAGAATAATTTGGTCTAAAAAAAGACCGAAAAGGATAGTAGTTGCGGCCGATGAAAAATCATTAATAATACAAACAGTTTTTTTTAACGAATCAGCAAAAAAAGAAAAGTTTTTTCATTAACCGGTTGGAAGGGGCATGTCACGGTGGGGTGGTCAGTCAACTAAGTAAATCAAAACTATATGTGGTACCATATAAAAACTTATTATCGAATTTTTTGTGAAACAAAGATGTCGATCCTTGATTATGTAATATTGAGGTAGCAATATCATTATCGTAAATTGTTAAATTTGAGTCTTTAAAAATTGATGAGAAGAATGATGCTTATAAAAAATAGCTATGTTTTTTGTTGTAAATATGGCGAAAATATCTTCTCTTTATTTGGTCCTTTTGGATATCACATAATTGAAATAAGATTTCTTGCTTGAGATATATCTTTATCAGGTAATTCTTGTATCATCGAAATTAAATAAGATTTTTGTGGATTCTTATCATCAATAGGCGTCTCTTCATTAATAGAAAACACTTCTTCATCAAAAAACACCTCTTCATTGACAAAATATACATCTTCACTGGTAGATGATACCTTTTCATTAGTTTTTCAATATTATCAAGACGTGCTTTATTTGCTTTTTTTAAATGGAACCGGCGTTTGTATTATTTATATATACCCATAACTTACTGTTAAATTAGATGTACAGCTTTAACTATTTTGTATCTTAAGAAAAAAACTATATGAAAATCATTAATGCAACCATATAAACAAAGTTACGAAGCTATTTGTTACATTTAATATAAGATACCTAGTATTTGGTTTGAAGAGTCAAACTTTGATATATAGATGGATTTTTAGTCTATAATACTAGAAAATTTAATGGCTAATGTAAAAAAATGCTTCGTAACTTTATGGTCATAGTTCATAAAAATTAATTAATACCAAAATAACCGAGAAAGAAGTTGTTATTCAATCTGGGCATCTAAAAAAATAAGCTTTACGTTTATATATATTAATTTATATAAATATTATGTTGATCAAAAAATTTAAATAAGCTTATAGTTAGTTAACCACATATAGTTTTGATTTACTTAGTTGACTGACCACCACAATGTCACGGGTCTAATTATATGCACGGAATTTTAAGTTACATAATTCAAATTATTTATATGGAGACTATTCTATTTTTATTTTGGGTAGATGAATAGAAAATCTTTTTTTTTTAAAAAAAAAAACCATGCATTGCATTTCTTTATTAATATTTGTATTAGTACATATTAATATTCGAAATACTTAGAACCGCAGACCTCAAGGATCGTGGGCTCTATAGCAGTTAGGGCATAATCTATTCTAAATACAACGGGCTAGATCATAATATGTACTGTCATGCAATGCTAGGATCCTAATAAATTATCTCAAATCCACAAATAAAATAAAACCTAACTAAAGAAGACAAAAAAACTAAAAAAAGAAACAAAAACAAAAACCATTACCAAATAAACCAAATAAACGTTACAGGAGAAATTTCGTTATACGACTGAGATCTAAGCTGAAAATTCAGACGAGGCCCAACAGCCCCACATCCCAGTAATCATTATCCCAAACTTTCCCTTCATCACGTTTCCGCCTACAAAAAAACTAGTCTTGTGTTACCCATCCCTACTGACTAAATTTACATCGAATTTATCCTATTTTTTCTATCGGAAAAATTTTTTTACGTGAGATCACGTGACCTCGATTATACGATGCAAAATTATCAGACATCTCTATCTCCTCAATTATTATCCTCTAAAATTTTTCGGCTTTCGTGGTGGTGGCGTCTCCGTCATTGGTCGTTTCTCTCCAATTTCTTTTTCGTCCGTCTTGCGATTTTCATCCTTCAGTCTTTTTTTTGAAATCATCATTAAGTGTGGTGTATTCGCGCAATATATCGCTTTATTTGTTCCGCCATGCTGATGATTCTCTGACTCATCATCATAAAGTTGTTCGTCTTCATCGCCCAGCTTTTCACTTGCCTCGGCTTCGTCAACTTATATTCGCTCTTTATCAATCGCAAGGCCTCTATGAGTCTATGTTGATTTTTTCCCATTCCATTTCATTAGAAGTTTCCGCAAAAATCTCCTCTATTTCCTCTAATTTGGCTTGCACCTCTCTCACCAAATCTCTTTCAGACTCATTATTAGATACTTGATATCGAGCGTACTCAATTTTTTTTCGCTCGGTAATCTTTTACGATCTTCTGGTGCGACATTATCACGTTTTAGAGGTTTACTAGCTAATTCTATTTTCCAATTTGTCAAAAGCTAGATCGTCCTCATCTTCTATGTCGCTTTCTTCCAATTCCCCTTTCTCACTTAAACGACATTCATTAATCATGTTCACTATCATTTCATCAGTCGGTACGTTGATGTCAGTTTTTGCTTATTCTTTGCCGCCATGTTTGATAGCTCCATATACAGTATGTCCTATTTGGAGGCGTCTGCGGTGTCGAAAATCTTTCTCTGCACCATGATTCGTACTTATTAAATTCACAATCTTCTTTTTTTTCTCATCCTTACTTTTGCCGTTTTTATATATCATCTTGAAGTTCCTTACCATCCAAATCTTCACTAAATCCTTCTTCTTCAAAGAAATCTCTACCGTGTTTTCCGATGCTTTTTGATCATTAAAGTATCCAATCACTTTCCAATTTTTGCGTGATTCTAATAATTTTAATGTAAGAAGCTTTTTCTTAAAACGCATTCACTGCTCCTTTTTATATTCTCCATTTCTTCTTTAGTTAGGTTCCTGACCAATTGCCATTTATCTCGTTCCTGTCTTGCTTTCAGTCCATTTGCTGCGTTGTACCATCTAATATAATTTTTGCTAATAAAAATTCCAAAAGTGCCATTTTTGAAGTAGTTTCAAAATTTTCTTTCAACAAAATTTTTGCAATTACGGCCTTGTATTTGTAATGTTGTCTCACTTGTATCCTAAAAACTTTCCCTGTCTTCGACAAATTGATGGAAGAATAAGTCACGTGCCATCTCTTTTCCTTTATCTCCGAGATCATCTACCAACATCGGTACAATGTACCGATGTTAGTAGATGATCTCGGAGATACGGTACATCCAAGATTAGCTCCCCCTTTTCCTTTTTCTTTTTGGAGATTGAAAATCGTAATTAATTAAATAATGGTTATTTGACAGCTATGATTATCTTGGAATTTTATATTTACATAGAAAAGGTGTTGATAAAAATCATCAAAAAGTTTTTGAATTATTTAAAAAATCAGCTGAAAGTGAATATCCAAGAGCAATAACGATGTTAGGGAATTGTTACTGTAACGGAATTGGAATAAGTATTGATAGGAAAAAGGCTGTTGAATTATATCAGAAAGCTGCAAATTTAGGAAATAAAATTAGACAATATAATCTTGCTATTATGTATGAGAATGGAGATGGAATTGAAAAAAATATAGACAAAGCAATTTATTGGTATAAGCAATCTGTTAAACAAGGACATCAAGATGCTCAAAATAAATTAAAAATGCTTAAAAAAATTAGAAACAGTTTATGTAAAATTATTTAAAGACATTTAAATTGTATATTTAGACAAGAATTTATTAAATTATTATGTAATGTTGATTTTATGATTTATACCTAGTATAATGAACTAATTAATTTTCATTTAGAATGATTTTACCTTTTGAAAAAGAAAATAAATGATATAGTATATCGCAACAAAAACGTTTCTTAAACAAATGAAGATAAAATGAAACATAAAGTACAACAAATAATAATCATGTTACCTCAAAACTGATTTACTTTAACAGTATTTGGTGGATCTTTAGTCAAAAGTAGTTTTTTAATCTCGAAAGTTTGGCAAAAAATAAAACCCTTATTATTAAAAAAGTAAAAAATTATTAAATTATTTTATTTCAAAAGTTAAGGACAAGGGTATAATCAAGGTGACCATGAAAGTGTCAACAGATATCCTGAGTATTATGAGAATTTAACGCAAAAAAAAACAAGGTAAAAAGTTGTTATATCTTTATCGTCAAGTGGAAGTCGCACTTGATCCATTCCAATTTCGGTACACACCCAATAATAATTGTCATTGCTCGTACGGTACGGTACATTTCGCCGATATCATTTCACCGAAGGGATATTTCACCGAAGGGGCGTTTTAGGATATATATAGGTAAAGGGAGATCGGCACACATTTACTATTACAGCTGATTTCACAATGTACAAATTTTAAAGAACTCGGAAATAATCGGTAAAGCTCAAAATAAGATAAAATTATACCACCATTCTCGGAATAGTACTCCAAAATTAGCGTATAATTTTTATTTTATATCAAGCTTTACCGAATATTTCCGAGTTCTTTAAAATTTGCTAAGTGTCCCGTACATTATGAAATCAGCTGTAATACTTCAATAAAATCACCAAAATTGTGACATTTTAATAAAATAATTTTATAAAACAATTTTTTACCGTTCTAATGAATAAGTATGAAAATGAATTAGATATTTGGCCATTTGATTAACATTATGTTTGACCGATTTGGCCGGCCAAAACGGCTGATTTAGTTCCTGGTCACGGTCAATTCCCAATCAACTTTGGCCCGTCAATTTTGACCGTTGGCTTTGGCCGATCGGCTAAATCGGTCAACGGCCAAACAAATTGGCTTGGCCGTGGCAATAAAATTATTATTTATATGAACTAATTACTTTTCTCGTTTAATACGATTTTACCTTTTGAAAAAGAATTTAAATGACATATTATAAAGGAAATATTTCTAGTATATTGCAACAAGCACATTTCTTAAGCAAATGAAGATGAAACGAACAAAAAATATAACAAATAATAATCATGTTACCAAAATCTAAACTGATTTATTTTGGAACGGTATTTTGTGGATCTTTTAGTCAAATTTGTTATCTAATCTTGAAGGTTTGATTTATCTAAAATATTAATCTCATTGCATTTCTAATTACGATATTAACTGTATTAGGCTCAACAACTAAAATAAGATAAACGATAGCAAGCTTAAAATTTATTTTATAATGAAACAAGTGAATGGTCTAACTTATTAATAAAAGTGATAAGATAAATCCCAAAAAGTTTACGTTTATTAAATCATCTACCAGAACTATTTTTATCTTTTACAGGAGTTTTTATAAATAAATTTACAATATAGCCTTTCCTTATATTATTTTTTATTATAGAACGGTTTAAATTACTAATATTAGGAATACTAACAATGCCAGAATAAACATCACCCACTTTAGTTAATAAGTAATACTTACACTCATGACTCATCACCCGCGAAGGACTAATATTATTGATTTTGTGAATGTTAATTGGTAATGAAATAGAGAAACGCGATGCAATGAACCGGATAGTAATAAATTTCTATTTTTAACGAAAGTGGGGATTAGATAACTGATAATGGAATATTAATGAAATTAGTGTTACAATCCGCGGATATTTTCCATCCGTCAATCCGTATCTGCACATGATGGTTATTCGCACTATATCTTTGGATGGAGGATAGACGCATTATATAACAGTAACTGGTAAGTGAAATTTGTCTAAACCAGATTTGGGCTTAAACCGGATATACCGAAATTTATTAGTAAAAAATCAGAGATCAAATTTCTCTAAAAAATGATTCGATATACAGTAACCAATAAAATTGAATCTTAATTTTGGCCAGAGTTATGAAATCTTAATTCCGGCCGTAGTCATTGATGTAATTATTCGCAATAAAAAATATTTTATACTCATTTTCATGATTTCTTTTACTTAAAATAAAGAAAATGTTAAATATAATGTAGGTCAATTAATATAACGGATTTTCGTATATCGAAATTTCCGATTTATCGAATTTTACTGTATAATATTTTCAAATTTTAGTTTTATGAACATTATTAAAGCGACTCATAGCAGCAATGAATTATGCAGTTCTCTAATATTATGTCATTTTAATTTTACCCATTATTTTATTTTTTATTTAACAAACTGAATATATAGAAATATATAATTTCGGTACAATCTTAGGCTTAGAAATCGTCTTTGTGATATTAAATTTTGTTCAATATTTTGAGAAAAAAAATAATTATGTAAATTTAATTCAAACATCAAGTTTGTTAGGGTGTTATTTATGGTATATTTTAGTGCATTTGTTACGGTATTGTGCTTTATTGTTTTTTAGATATGAAACTTTAACCGGTATGCTGTTTCCATTTGCCGATCTCACCGTACCTGTTTCTCCGGAACGGTACGAAGTTAATAAAATATAATACCTATATTATTTTTTTCTTTTTCAATTTCATTTTAAAAATTTACCATTAAAAAATTAAAGGAAATTTTTCTATAAATTAATTTTCATTTCGTCTATGATACAACTGCAAAATACTAAAATTTAATATCAACGTCTTTTAAATTACACTTTTACATCTTAAAAAAAAATTTATATTAAAGATTTATTTTAAAATAAGATTCATTCTGTAATTCGGAATTTTTACTAAATCATGCCCAAAGGTTATTCATGTGATATTATAATTCCTATGATATTTTACTCATCGTACCTGTACTTAAACCTTACTTATTAATTATTATATTATATCGTACCATACTAATTTACTATATACTCGTTTTGTCATGAGATTTTTTTTAAAATTATAGCATCAAAAGAAAAAAATTCATTTCATATATCCTTTACCTGAATATTACAGTATTTATAATTTATTCCTGCAAAACAAGTTTTTTAGTTTTTATAATATAGAATCATATACGTAGATTTTAGATCTCGTTTCTTGAAATTCGTCAAAAGACTGATAAAAAATTTTTTTCAAAATTGAGCTTTATTTTTCAATTTAGATCATATTAGATTAAAATGAAAAAAAAAAATTTCAAATGAAAATCCAGACATTATTTTATTGTTAACCGGTGAAAATATATATTGATAGTTATTTCACCGATCATAATGATCGCCATGAGGCTGATCCGTGAAATAGCCCGTTTATATAACGAGCACTAACGTTCTAAGTATAATTTATAGATACTGTATCACAAATGCTCCTCTTAATAAAAACCAAAAAAAAAATAACATCCTATAACAAACAAAATAAATATACTTGTTTGATAATTTAGGTTAAAAATTGTTTCAGTATTTCTTTATCTTTCAGTTAAGCATAAAAATTAAGGTAACAATTTCTTCACATTGTTAAAGTATTCCAAAATAGGAAAAAAATATTTATGTTGATATCTAAAATATTAAATATTAAATAATATAAAATAAATTACTAAAAAAAAAAACATATTTACTGAATTTTGAACACGGGCGATTTTAACAATAATAATTTGTGAATGTGTTAATAATAGTAATTTATCTTCAGTAAATCTTATATATAATGAAAATAATATTAAGGAAGTTCTTTAATTATTTTTATAAATGATAATAACACCATGACTTGTAAAGCGGTTGATTTAATATTATATCAGCAATTATTATTAACACGTGACAAAGACCAGTATCAAAATTTTGTCAGTTTGTGACTCAGCGTATAATTTATAATCCCTTATTTCCCCAACGCTCTGGCGGGCTAAGCAAATTGGTATATTTGCTCGTATATTAACTGAATTATTAAAATTTAGCTAATTTTCGCCACTACTTCTATTGATTCTGGCCGGTGAACCGGGTCCGATTGATCGACATCTGGAATTTTTTTGATTTCAGTTGTAATCATTTGTAATCATCCGGGTCCATGTCTTCTGCCGTCATTACATGGAATTCCACGTCGGATCCAATGGGAATCTGGGGCGAAAATTAGTATAACTTTTATCAAAAAACAAATACTGCGGTTGATCAACAATTAATTTAATTTTAATATTACACAACAAATCCATAATTAGAATATATTTTCTTTTTTTTTTACTTTTACCGTCAAAAATTTTTATTTCATACTCTATTCACTATTTCGAATAATAGCAATAGTAACAAAATGCAAAATATTGAAAACATAAATGAATGGATCAATTGGATTGAAGAAGCTATCAATAAAAAACATATTAAATATTATGAATTTGAAGATTTTAAAAATATTCAAGAAATTGGTTCCGGAGCATTCGGAAAAGTTTTTCGTGCAAATTGGAAAAATTTTGATAATTATTTAGCGTTAAAATCTTTTTATAATCTTAATAAAATTACTTTGAAAGAAATTATTCATGAGGTAATTTTATTATTATTAAAAAATTTGATTGCATATTCTAAAAAATATTTATTTTTTTATATTTTCTTTATATTTATTTATTTTTTATTATTAATTTAGCTTAAACTTCAACGAGATGTAGATTTTCATGATAACATTATTCGCTTTTACGGAATTACAAAACATGAGTCAGGTACAGGTGAGAATTTTATTAAATAAATTTAATAACGATTGAAATATATATTTTTTTTAATGAAATAATTAATAATGACCATTTTTTATTAGATAATATACTTAATCCAACAAAAGATTATTTATTAGTAATGGAATACGCAAACAGTGGTGCTCTTCGTGACTATTTGAAAAATTATTTCCATAGACTTACCTGGTATAATAAATACAGTTTGGGATACCAATTAGCTTGTTCTGTATTATGCCTGCATGACGAAGGGATTGTTCACCGGGACTTGGTAATTTTTTTTTAAAAAAAAATTTCTATATTAGGCCACACAAATTCAATTTTTCGGTTCATGTAACATTGAAATTTAAAATCAACCCGGGGACCCGGGGTTTATTGTTTATTAGTAAAAAAAGTTTATATATAAAATCGTGACATTTGATTGGTTGACTTTTAAAAGGGAGGAATTTATTTTCGCTCTAGAAGTTCTCAGCCGCGTGATAAACTTACCCGCCAATAAAATTACGTCCTGATCACATGATAAATTTTTTATATATAAACTTTTTTTTATTGAAATTTGAAAAAGTGACCCGGCCGGGTGAAGTGAACCGAAAATTCGAATTTGTGTGGCCTTACATGAATTAAGTTAACAGTTAATTTAATACTGCTGGTGTATTATAGCATTCCTGTAATGTGTTAGTTCATCAGAATTCCATTAAGTTGGCAGACTTTGGGTTATCAAAAAGGGTTGATGAATCATCTAATTCACAATCAAGACTACGTGGTATGATTCCTTATATCGATCCGAAAGCAATAACGGACAATTTAAAACTAAATGAGAAGAGCGATGTATATAGTATTGGTGTATTGTTATGGGAAATATCAAGTGGGAAACCACCATTTCATGAAGAAAATTATGATCTTAGTTTAATGTATAAAATTTCACAAGGTCGAAGAGAAGAAATTATTTCCGATACTCCTAATGATTATTCTGATCTTTATACTGGTAAATTTAATTTTCACTTATTAATTTCAGTTCTTGTATTTATTTTTATCATAGTTTAATCAAATATAATTATTAGAATGTTGGAATTGTGAACCAAATGAACGACCATCAATACATGAAGTTGTTAATAGATTAAGAATATCTCTAAATTCAAGTAGCACAACAATTTATCAACAAAGTATGTTTAATCACATTATTCCTACGTCAAATGAAAGTTTAATTCCAAATAGTATAGAAAATTCATTGCATGGAGAATTATCTCAAATGATTCAAAAATTCAATAATACAAATGCAAATGAATTATTTATGATGTCTACAAATAATCAAATTAATATAAATATTTCATTTGAGAAGAATTTAAGTATAGCAGTTGATGAAATAGTTGATCTTATTTTTAGGGAAGAAAATAGAAAAGATGAGTCAAAACAGCATGTTCTTGATTATCTTAATAACCATAATATAAATTCAGAAGAAATCTATAATTGGCTATCATATAACCAAACCAATTCAAATTCCAATTTTTTACTTGGATATTTTAATTATTTTGGAATTGGAACACCCGAAAATAACGTGAGAGCATTGAATTTATTTATTAATGCATCGGTACAGGGTCATATATTAGCACAATATTATGTTGGAAATTGTTATGAATTTGGACATGGAATGATTACAAAAGGTGAAAAATCAGCATTTGTATATTATGAAAAAATAGCTAAAGATTGCTATGCAATGGGACAATTTAAATTAGGTTGTTTTTATAATTTTGGAAAATGTGTTGAAAAAGATTTTAAAAGAGCTTCTAATTGGTATAATAAAGCTGCAAATAATGGACATTTAATAGCTATTTATAATCTTGGGATTTTATATTTAAATGGAAAAGGTGTTGATAAAAATCATCAAAAAGCTTTTGAATTATTTAAAAAATCAGCTGAAGGAGAATATTCAAGCGGAATAATGATGTTAGGATATTGTTACAGTGACGGAATTGGAATAAGTATTGATAAAAAAAGGGCAGTTGAATTACATCAAAAAGCCGCAAATTTAGGAGAGGATGTTGCACAATATAATCTTGCTGTTATGTATGAGAAGGGAGACGGAATCGAAGAAGATATGGACAAAGCAATTTATTGGTATGAACAATCTGCTAAACAAGGATTTCAAAAAGCTCTAAATAGGTTAATAATACTTAAAAAAAATTAGAAACAATTAAAGGTAGTATTTTCTTTTTTTTAAAAATTATCTTTCCAAATATAAGAATTTAGTTAATAAATTATTATGTAATGTTTATTTTTATGATAAAATTAATATTTATACCTAGTATAATGAACTAATTAATTTTCCATTAAAACATTTAAAATGATTTTCCTTTTGAAAAAGAAAATAATCGATATAATGTTATTAAGGAAATATTCTAGTACAGTATATCGCAACAAAAGCATTTCTTAAACAAATTAAGATAAAACGAAACATAAATGCTAAGTACAACAAATAATAATCATGTTACCCAAAATCCAAACTGATTTACTCTGGAATGGTTATTGTTGGACAATTAAAACTGGTATTATGTATCATATTCTTGAAGGTTTGATTTATCTAAAATAGTGTTCAAACCCGATTTGTTAATGGACAAACCGGGTCGATCCATTAGAAAAATTCAGCAAAATTCATAATATACGGGAATTTGATTATCGGGTAGCCGGGTTACTCGGGTAATCAGGTTATTAAAAAAGTATAAAATAGCACGTATATCAGATTATATATACCGTATTAACAATATACTATATATATATGATATAGTATACTATATAAATATAAAGAACAATACTAAATGAGCATTTTCGTCAGTTAATACTTTATAGTTTACTATTATACTTATGTCACGTGCTATTTATACTTTTCTAATAACCTGACTACCCAGCTACCAGACAACCCAATTTTTATATTTTGAATTTTGCTGTAATATCAGTTGCAACTGATTTCATAATGTACGGGACACTTAACAAATTTTAAAGAACTCGGAAATATTCGGTAAAGCTTGATATAATAAAAATTATACGCTAATTTTGGAGTACTATTCCGAGTATGGTGGTATAATTTTATCTTATTTAGAACTTTACCGAATATTTCCGAGTTCTTTAAAATTTGCTAAGTGTCCCGTACATTATGAAATCAGCTGTAAGTATTAAACTAGCTGCAGCCCGTTGCGACTGTTGTGTGGTAATAGGGTTAATTTGACTAGCCGATTTGACGCACCTCATTTGACTATATGAGTTGGGTTAGTTACTAAGTAAAGTACTTAATATATTTTTCCAAAAATCAGCTAAATTTCTATTAAACAAACCACATGTAATTCACGTGGGTTCTTATTATTGTCTTCAACTAATATAATAATATTATTACAGACGCTTCTTAAGAAATCTTTACGAACTCACTGTTAATAGTCGTTAGAGTTTTAAAATTCTCTTTTTCCCCTGCATCAATTATCGCCTATTATAATTATAACTTTAGTTTGCTTATATCACAAAGGTCCTTTCTCCGTCTTTGATTCTGTTATCATTTATTATGATTTTATAATTAAAATTTTACTACAACTTATGCTATAGGATAGAGATAACCAAGAAAATTGTCTTTTTATTAGTGTTAATTATAAATGAATAAATACAATAAAAAATGAATAATAAAAAAAATAGCAATAGAGATAACCAAGAAAATTGTCTTCTTATTAGTGTTAATTATAAATGAATAAATACAATAAAAAATGTAATAAAAAAATAGCAATAAAGTCTTTTTATTAATGTTAATAAATTCAAAAAATTCGAATTTAAAAAAAGTTTTTTACTGGGGTGATCATCACCGTTGGCCAGAATTATCAATTTTTACCGGCACTATATTTTTTAATGCTGGTCGATCGTCATAATTTCAGTCACCGGTGAACATCACCTCCGGTGATAGTTAGAAAAATTCTTAAAAAAAAACCTGGAACGAAAAATATCTTTAAAATATCGGTTTTAAAAATAAAAAAAAAAAATATTACAAAAAAAGATTCGATCTAAAAAGACCGAAAAAAATAATTTCGGTCTAAACACAAAGACCAAAGGGACAAATATTTTAAAAAATAATTTGGTCTAAAAAAAAGACCGAAAAGGTCACGAAAAATCACGTGACATTTCACGTGGTTTGAAATCAATTTTAACAATAATGCAATATGCATTGCCATAACGGTTAACCGGGAAACTCTTTCCCACAAAAATCTGGAACAAAATTTACAAAGTTGGACGTTTTAATTTTTATTATTACAAAAACTTTCTTTTCCACTTAATATTGGAAAGAGAACTTTTATACACTTTATTTACTTTTAAAAGACATACACTTTATTTACTTTCGAAAGATATACCCAATATTTTTACATAGTTTTTTTTGTCATATTTTCTTCCTGCTGTTTTTCATATACATAATAAGGAACAATTTTTGGCTCACACTGGTATTTATAAATACCCTCTTCTCTTTATAACGAATATGGAAACCTCTCAAAAGAACTTATGTACAGAGAACTCCCACTCCAAAGGACCTCTAGAAGGCTCCAAAGCTATTGTTCGTTTATACCGCCCTTGCAATACTTACTCTTTTTCCTTTCACACGAAGAGAATCAACCCATATGAAATCACTGATACACGTGGCAGTGGTACACTATACAACACCAAAAAAGCTCGATACTTCCTCATTGAGTTAGATCAACATGCTGATCTAGATCTAACAAGGAAAAATTTTTTTACCGTTTGCACCAATGATATTGAAATGACTCGTGATCATCAAAGGATCTTCAATTCAAGTAGTAAAAAACTTAACATCAACTACCTAATAGGGACATACCTCACCTTCACATTTGCTATTAATCGACAATTTTCACCTGACACCGTTAAAAAATATTTTAAACGTTTACGCCAACTATTATTAGTAAAATTTTTAGCAATTAAAAATAGATTATCTTCTGATAGTATTAAAAATAGACAAACCAATACTTTTATTAGATTTAGTTCTGGTTCCCACGTGATCTACCTGGGATTCTATCTACCATGTGGTATGAATAATTTATTTGGATTGGGTAAACACTGTGATCAACCTGCAGCTTTCGTTCTATCTAGAAATCGATGGAAATGTCATACACACCTCTTAAATATAGAAAATGTCAATTTAAATATACAAACCAATTCAAAATTTCCTAGTAATCCTGCTTTGTACAAATGCTTGACTGATAACCCCCGAGCCAAAAAAGTTCATTCAACACGACTAGGCGTGAAATATGAAGTTGTAATCAAAAGATACCGACCTTACAAAGGTAACAATAATCAAAATTTGAAAGAAATTATGGAGCCAACCATCACTTTATCAAAGAAAGGTATCCCCACGCTTCGACCTTTCTATAAAGAATATAGAAATCTTGAATTTGACATCGTTCGCTCACCACAACAAATCAAACGTTGGAATCTTTTGAAACAATGCATCATCAATTCTGAATGAAGAATTCATTATAATAAACCTTATTTACTCAGGCCAGGACTTGATCATTACACACAATCAGTTGTTTTTAATCAACTAAGCCATGTTGCTGAACGTGGCTCAATACATCCATCTTATGAAGGAAGAAGTAATAAGGAAAAGATAAATTTGAAACGTGCCAAGAATTGGCTACGTAGAATTAAAAAACGAAATAAACTCAAGAAGTCACTACCACCTTTACCTCCAGATTTTAATGGTGATCCCCGAGTGTTTTATAATAATACATACCATATTAATCTTTTTGATTATAAAGTTCGATGACGTTTTAACGTGTCATCCCTCAATACAACTATGGATATACCAAAGCTAAACAACTTTATGATGATTATATACTGAGACGTTCATGTCCTCTAATCACTGAATATTTACCACCGATCGACAAAGACAAAAATATTTTTTTTATATCAGATGCTCACCTGGAAATTATTAATGATAATAATATTTTCTTTCATCGCCGTACACCCCCTCCTGACGAGATTGATGATGATAAAGGAAGACTCCAACGACCTCTAATGAGGAACAAAAGAAAAAAAGTTGAAATCCTGCCCTCACCTGGGCAGGATCTTTGATTACTCTAATATATAGTTTTACCCTTAAAAAACAATTACGGACCTATAAGGATACACCATTTTGTATATGACAGTATTTACATACAATAACTAGTTTCTAGTTAAAAGAAAAATACGGATGACTTGACTTGAATTCTTTTTTTTAGGTTTCTTTTTGTTCGTCTTTAGTTTCATTGCCCATTTGAAAGGTTAGCATAGTCCTAGCTTTTTGAATAGATAGTCCGAAGGGTGAGGTCCCGTAGGGGATTAACGTCCAAAATTCTATGCACGTATATTAGTTGTAGAACATGTAAATGTTGTCTTTCTTTTATTTGTAATAGTTTTGGAGTACTACTCTTCTAGTAATAAAATAAAAAATAATAAAATAAATAAAATAAAATAACGGTTAACCAACCGAAGCCAAAACAAGTAAAATCCTGCTTCTGTCTCTTATACACATCTAGATGTGTATAAGAGACAGGCATAGTCCTAGCTTTTTGAATAGATAGTCCGAAGGGTGAGGTCCCGTAGGGGATTAACGTCCAAAATTCTATGCACGTATATTAGTTGTAGAACATGTAAATGTTGTCTTTCTTTTATTTGTAATAGTTTTGGAGTACTACTCTTCTAGTAATAAAATAAAAAATAATAAAATAAATAAAATAAAATAACGGTTAACCAACCGAAGCCAAAACAAGTAAAATCCTGCTTTGTACTATTTATATTAATACACATTTTTACGTTTCGTGGTATTTTGGGAGTAATTTTAATTTCTTTTCCCGTCAAAATTTTTATTGCTTACTCTATTCACTATTTCGAATAATAAACAATAGTAACAAAATGCAAAATAATGAAAATGTGGATGAATGGATTAATTGGATTGAAGAAGCTATCAGTAAAAAACATTAGTGTTGCCGGCCGTAAGTAACAATTACGGCATTTTGGATTACAACTTGGGTTGTAACCCTGATTTACAACTACGGCAAAAGTTGTAAAGTGCCGTATTAGAGTTGTAATACGTAATTATGCTGTAAGTTGTAATTAAGTTGTAGATCGGTAAATTATATTTGATTATAAACACATGACGTAATTCTGCTATTAACTAAATTATGATGAAAATAGTTCAATAAAAATCAAGTTTTTGATTATAAGTGACGTAATTTTTCCTATGAATGAATGCAAAAAATCTAATTTATAATTTTTACTCGTGTATTTTTTTAAAAAAATGTCACAAACCATGTCGGTAAATTATTAAAATGGAAAATTTTCATTACATTCTTTTTTTTATTTATCTCAATACTAATGTAATGAAATAATACTACCAATGGTAAATTACCAGTAATAGAAATTCACATGCTTTTACTCTTATTAAGAAAAACACCTTTCAAATTACTACAAAAATCCCATTTCAAATAGTCCGAAAGTCCAAAGCATTTCTACAAAAAAGAAAACAAAAAAGAAATTAGTTACGTTCCTAAATAGAAAGACCTATCTTTTCCATAGTCCGTAAAGAACCAAGAATCTGCTAAATAAAATGAGATCAACCAAAAGAAAAAGATTGAAAATAAAAGTAAAACAATAAAAAAAAATATTAACTTGTTCATTTCCCTAGAAAAGAGTTGATAATCCAATTACATATCGGATATGCGATAATTCACAATGATCAAGATTTAAGTATCATTAATAAAGATAATTAAGAAAATTCACGTGAGTTTTCTTATTTTTTAAGGATTAAATGCCATTTTATAATAAAATCAATACATCCGTTATTAATGGTTACATCTATTTTAAAAATTAGCTATTTTGTATGTTACACCAATTACGAACATTACATCAATTACAACTGGTTAGAAAATTACGGCAAAACGTTACAACTTTACGGCAATACGTTACAACCTTTACAACCTGTTACAACTATTACGGCCGGCAACACTAAAAAACATGTTAAATATTATGAATTTGAAGATTTTAAAAATATTCAAGAAATCGGTTCCAGGGCATTCAGAAAGGTTTTCTGTGCAAATTGGAAAAATTTTGATAATTATTTACCCTATAAAAAATATTTCCATTATTTCTCCGTGTCTTCCGTAAAAATTCCGTGAAAATGATACATTCACGGATATCCGTGTTAGCGAGATGAAAATTTCCATGATTTAAGGCTATAAATTCCATGAAAATGATACATTCACGGAAAAAACATGGAAAGATAAAACACAGATCAGATTTTTTACAGGGTTAGCGTTAAAATCTTTTTATTGTCTTAATAAAATTACTTTGAAAGAAATTGTTCATGAGGTAATTTTTATTATTATTAAAAAATTTAATTGCATATTCTAAAAAATATTTATTTTTTTATATCTTCTTTATATTTATTTTTTTTAATTATTAATTTAGCTTAAACTTCAACGAGATGTAGATTTTCATGATAACATTATTCGCTTTTACGGAATTACAAAACATGAGTCAGGTACTGTTGAGAATATTATAAAAAATGATTTAAATATTTTTTTGTTTTTTTAATAAAATAATTAATAATAACTACTTTTATTAGATAATATATTTAATCCAACAAAAGATTATTTGTTAGTAATGGAATATGCAGCCAGTGGTACCCTTCGTGACTATTTGAAGAATAACTTCCATAGACTTACCTGGAATAATAAATATAGTTTGGCATACCAATTAGCTTGTTCTATATTATGCCTGCATGATGAAGGGATTGTTCACCGGGACTTGGTGATTTTTTTAAAAAATTTATATATTTCATGAATTAAGTTAACAATTAATTTAATACTACTTGTGTTATATGTATTATAGCATTCTTGTAATGTGTTAGTTCATCAAAATTCCATTAAGTTGGCAGACTTTGGATTATCAAAAAGGGTTGATGAAACATCTAATTCACAATCAAGAGAACTTGGTAAGGTTCCTTATACCGATCCGAAAGTAATAACGGATAATTTAAAACTAAATGAGAAGAGTGATGTATATAGTATTGGCGTATTGTTATGGGAAATATCAAGTGGGAAACCACCATTTCATGAAGAAAATTATGATCTTAGTTTATTGTATAAAATTTCACAAGGTCGAAGAGAAGAAATTATTTCCGATACTCCTAATGATTATTCTGATCTTTATACTGGTAAGTTTGATTTTCACTATATTATTAATTATATTTATTTTTTTTTCATAGTTTAATCAAATACAATTATTAGAATGTTGGAATGGTGAACAAAGTAAACGACCATCAATACATGAAGTTGTTAATAGATTAAGAATATCTCTAAATTCAAGTAGCACAACAATTTATCAACAAAATATGTTTAATCAAATTATTCCTAGTACATCAAATGAAAGTTTAATTCCAACTAGTATAAAAAATCCATTGCATGGAGAATCATCTCAGATGATTCAGAATTTAAGCATAATAGTTATAATAGTTGATGAAATAGTTGATCTTATTTTTAGGGAGGTTAATAGAAAAGATGAGTCAAAACAGCATGTTCTTGATTATCTTAATAATCATAATATAAATTCAAAAGAAATCTATAATCGGCTATCATTTAACCAAACCAATTCAAATTCCATTTTTTTACTTGGATATTTTAATTATTATGGAATTGGAACACCCAATGATAATAGGAGAGCATTTAACTTGTTTTTTAATGCATCGATACAGGATCATATATTAGCACAATATTATGTTGGAAATTGTTATGAATTTGGATATGGAATGATTACAAAGAATGAAAAACTAGCATTTGTATATTATGAAAAAATGGCTGAGTTAGATTATGCAATGGGACAACATAAATTAGGTTATTTTTATCATATTGGGAAATGTATTGAAAAAAATTTTAAAAAAGCTCCTAATTGGTATAAAAAAGCTGCAAATAATGGACATTTGATAGCTATGAATAATCTTGGACTTTTATATATAGGAGAAGGTATTGATGTAGATAATCAAAAAGCTTTTGAATTATTTAAAAAATCAGCTGAAAGTGAACATTCAAACGGAATAACGATGTTAGGATATTGTTACAATAACGGAATTGGGATAAGTATTAATAATAAAAAGGCAGTTGAATTATATCAAAAAGCTGCAAATTTAGGAAATAAAACTGGACAATATAATCTTGCTGTTATGTATGAGAAGGGAGATGGAATCGAAAAAGATATAGACAAAGCAATTTATTGGTATGAACAATCCGCTAAACAAGAACATCAAGATGCTCAAAATAAATTAAAAATACTTAAAAAAAATTAGAAACATTTTATGTAAAATTATTTAAAGACATTTTCTTTTTTTAAATTGTATATTTACTGTATTATCTATCCAAATACCAAGAATTTGTTGAATTATTATGTAATGTTGATTTTTATTATAAAATTATTATTTATACCTAGTATAATAAACTAATTAATTTTTCATTAAAACGTTTAAAATGATTTTACCTTTTGAAAAAGAAAATATCAAAAACATTTCTTAAACAAATGAAGATAAAATGAAACATAAAGGCTAAAGTACTGTACAACAAATAATAATCATGTTTAGGGATGACAACGGTCGGTTATGGTCGGTTATGGTCGATTATAATCGGTTATAGCAATTTAAACGGTCAGTTATGGTCGGTTAAAAATTGGTTAAACGGTCGGTTAAACGGTCAGTTATACCATTTTACTTAAATAATTGGTTAAATGGTCGTCGGTCAAATGGTTAAAAATGGTCAGTCAAATGTTAAATGGTTGGTCGAATGGTCAGTTAAATGACGGTTAAACGGTCGGTTAAACGGTTATGATCATAACCGTTGCCATCCCTAAATTCATGTTACTCAAAATCAAAACTGATTTACTTTAACAGTATTTGGTGGATCTTTTAGTTTAAAGTAGTTTTCTAATCTCGAAGGGTTGACAAAAATAAAACCCTTATTAAAAAGTAAAAAAATTATTGAATTTTTTTATTATTTCAAAAAGTTAAGGACAAGATTATAATCAAGGTGACCATGAAAGTGCCAACGGACATCCCAAATATTATGAGAATTTAACGTCAAAAACAAGATAAAAAGTTGTTATATCTTTATCTTCAGGATGTATGGTTACAGTCCATTTCGCCAAAAATGGTAGCGATTAACATTTTAATAAAACGCGCAATGAAAAATTATTTTTTAGGGAATTTTTTTTTTCCAGGATATTATCACTTTAACATTCAAGTAACTGATATTAATTGTTAAGAAATAAATAAATAACTTTATTTTCCTGAAAACATTTATTCGCGTAAAAGTAAGTAAAAAAAGACTATTAATATATTATAAACAACGACTCAACGAGATAAATTTAATAAAAATTAGCTAATGCAGAAATTTTTCTAGAAAAAATTTCTTTATATATTTAGTATAAAAACAATAAAATAACCAAATGGAATAAATAATTTTTCGCTGAAATGTCTATACGATAAAATGGCTTCGGCGAAATGGAATTGGGTTTCGGTGAAATGGTATTTCGGAGAAACGTCCTTTCAGCGAAATATCCCTTCAGTGAAATATCCCTTCGGCGAAATGACTTCGGCGAAAAGTCCAGATACCTGCTCGTATATAAATTGAGACCCAATTTGTTTTGAATCCATACTGGTTTACCTACCTATATAATATAGGTAAACCAGTGATATGACGGGACAATGCCCACAAAAATTTGATGTCCCGTCCAAGATATTATCCCAAGGACGTTAGTCTGAAGGACTAGGTCCTTCGGACGTTACCTACTCGTGTAATCAACTAAATTACACGACATTAATGAAGTACGGTAAATCATCTTATAATTAAATTTTGTCTTGGACGTCAACAATATCTTGACCGAATTATGGACTGTCCCATCCTGTTCCATCCAAGGATATGTCCTATTCCCAGTCACAACACTGTCTACACATTCAGGGAGCGACATAAAAGCCATTAGACTAAAGATGATTGATTGATTAAGACGAAAGAATTAGATTTCATAAAAATGATACGTTATATTTTATTGATCCGATAAAAATGATAAAAATTTTTTATTTCTTCCTAGTAGATGGTTATAATTTTAATTATTATTGATTTCACTCAAGATTTATTGAAGATATTTATTAAAAATTTACGGCTTATCCTCAAACGTTATTTAATGAAAGCTTTAATTGATTAAGCAAAAAAAAAAATCCTTTAAATTTTATTAGGCTATACTATTTTATTTTATTACTCTCGTGAAATTTAATTAAGAACACACTTATTACTCTGTGCCAAGAAGTCAATTAAAGGAACGTGGTCAAGTTAAAAAAATTTATTTTCTTCATAATGAAACCAAGTGAATGATCAAAAAAGATAAATTTCAAAAGTTTGCGTTTACTAAATCATCTATCAGGACTTTTATTTTTAAAGCAATTAATTTACAAGAAATGTATAATTGGTTATTGAATTCATAAAATTAGAATTTGTTATGCGTTATGTCTTATATTATTTTTATTATTTTCCAGGATTAATTTTAACAAAAAATATAGAAATTTTTTTAAGAATAAAATACAATAATTCCCTCTTTTTATATAAATTATTTCTTTTTTTTACGAAGATTTCAGTGTTACTTTTTTTTTTTTAGCTCTAATTTAAACTTCATTTTTCTAATACTTGGTATACTTGGTAACGAAATGTGTAACAAATCTCGAAAATGGAAATGATCAACAAAATATATTGAATTTTTTTTTCAACATTAGTTAACGCGCACGTTACTAACAAAAAAAAAAAAAAAAAAAAAAAAAATTATTAACATTAAATCAACCAAAAATATCAGAAGCCAAATCATCTGATAGTAAATTAGCAATGAAAATAAAAAAAGGATCGTTAAATTGAAAAAATAATACAACAAAAATGAAAAAAAGATTATAAATCAAAAAAGTGATACTGCCGAATTCTCTAGCAATGAGCCTGAACAGGTAAAATTAACTAAAACATTACATATTTACATACNAAAAAAAAAAAAAATAAATAAATAAATAAATAAAATAAATAAATAAATAAATAAATCCTATAATAAATATAATAAAAAAATTTTTTTTTGAAAATTTATTTTATTTCTTAAAAAATTCTTTTAGTAAAGCATAAGGGGGTTAATGTAATAAAATATTAAATAAGTATTGCATTGTTTTTTTAAAATGTAAAATAAAAAAATATACATATGTATTACTAAAAATGATACGTTCCGAAAAATGATTAACAATTCCTTCATGCAGTGAACACGTGGTTTGAAATCAATTTTAACAATAATGCACGGTTAACCAACCGAAGTAAAACATGTAAACAAGTAAAATCCTGCTCTGTACTATTTATATTAATACACATTTTTACGTTTCATGGTTTTGTGAGTAATTTTAATTTTTTTTTTGAAAAAAAACTTTTTTTTTAGAAAATTTTTAATATTTTCAATGTCTAATAACAAAGATGAATTGCAAACTTCCAGAAATTCTGACAAATGGACTGAAGAAGTTATATCTAAAAATAATATAAAATATTACGAGTACAATAATTTTTATAATATTGAAAGAATCGACGACGGGGACTATGAAAATGTTTATCGCGCAAATATTAAAAACTCGGATCAATATTTTGTATTAAAATCTTTTAATCTAGACAACGCCACTATATTATGTGAGGTAATAAATAAAATATAATAACAATACGTTATATGTAACTAATATATATATATATTAGTTGCATTTTTTTTTATATTATATCATATTAAATTATTTATTAATTTAGCTTAAACTTTATCGCAAACTTAATTTTCATGAAAATATCATTAAATTTTTTGGAATTACAGATAATAAAGGTATGAATATATTATATAATTGAAATAACGTGTTTATATATGTTTATATATAAAAAAAAATTTTTTGATATATCCATTAATAATTCCTTTTTAGAAAATCGAGATGGCCAAGTGAAAAAATATTTAGTGATGGAATATGCCGATGGTGGTACCTTTCGTAAATATTTGAGAGAAAATTTTGAAAACCTTACTTGGAACGATAAAATTAATTTGGCTTTTCAACTATCTTGTGCCGTATCATATTTACATGACGAAAAAATTGTACACCGCGATCTGGTAAATTTATTTATTATTATTTTATACGTATTTTTTTTTTTTTTTTTTGTTTGTTTAGAATAAAATGTGCATTTCTGCGTTTTTTTTGACTATAATTTTAATAGTTCTCTTTATATTTTAATAATAGCACTCAAATAACGTATTAATTCATCAAAATAATATCAAATTGACCGATTTTGGGCTTTCAAAAAGAATTGATGAAAAAATCAAGTTATTCGGGACGATTCCTTATATTCCTTATATTGACCCAAAATGTTTTAATGGACAAAGAGACAATCAAATACAAACCTATTTATTAAATGAAAAGAGCGACATATATAGTGTTGGTGTATTATTATGGGAGATATCGAGTGGGAAATTACCATTTGATGAAGAGAATTATGATCTTAGTTTAATGTATAAGATTTCACAAGGACTGAAAGAAACCCCTATACCAAATACACCCGAAGATTATATAAAGATTTATACTGGTAAATATATAATTTTTTTAACATCATGATTTTACGTATTTTGATATATTAATTTCTTATTTTTACATCTGTTCAGAATGTTGGAATAACGAACCGATCAATAGACCAACTATTATTCAAGTCGTTGATAAATTAAAAACAATTATTACAGAAACAAACGTAAAACAATCAGAGAATGTACCAAATTTAAATAGAGAATTACCTCAAATAATTCAAAATTTTATGAAGTCGAATATAATTGAAATAGAACCGACTACTCAAAATATTAACAAAAGTATATTTGAAGAAGATCTAAGTATCATAATTGATGAATTGGTTAATCTTTATTTTAAGGAATTAAATGAAGGAAAAGAAGAAAGTGTAAGGAAACAACATATATTTGATTATATTAATAATCATAAATTAAATTTACAAGAAATTTATAATTGGCTTTTAAATAATCAAAATGATTCAAATTCCGTTTATTTACTTGGATATTTTAATTATCATGGAATTAAAATTAATATTAATAAACAAAAGGCTTATGAATTATATCAAAAAGCAGCAAAGTTAGAAAATAGTGTGGCACAAGTTGATCTTACTTATATGTATGTTAATGGAAAAGGTGTTGATAAAAATTATAATAAAGCATTTGAATTATCTAAAAAATTAGCAGAAAGAGAACATTCAAATGGAATAAATATGTTAGGATATTGTTATGATCTTGGAATTGGAACTGATATTGATATGCAAAAAGCATTTGAATTGTATCAAAAATCGGCAAACTTGGGAAATATTAAAGCTCAATATAATCTCGCTTTAATGTATGAAGAAGGAAAAGGTACTGAAATAAATCAAAAAAAGGCATTTGAATTATCAAAAAAATCAGCAAAAGGAGAATATTCAGATGGGATAAATTTATTAGGTTATTATTATAAAAATGGAATTGGAACAGATGTTAATATGGAAAAAGCCGTTGAATTTTATCAAAAAGCTGCAAATTTAGGACTTGATGTGGCTCAATATAATCTTGCTTTAATGTATGAAAATGGGAATGGAATTAAAAAAGATATTAATCAAGCAATTTATTGGTACAAAAAATCTGCTAAACAAGGATTTCAAAGTGCTCAAACTAGATTAAATAATCTTCAAGAGTAGAATGAATTATTACATGAAATTTTTGAGAAATTTAATAAAATATTTTACTATTTGCAAAATAGAAGGTTTTATTATTCTTTAGTTTCAAATACCGTTAAAGTGTTAAAATATTCTGCTATCCATTATGTCACGTGATAATATAAGATTCTATATAGTTTATACTTTTTATTTTTTATTTTGATTTTTAAATAATAAATAAAGATTTGCAAAATATTATGTTTGATATTCCCATGATATACGCTTGCATATGTGTTTGTTGTGTGGTCACTGGTCACCTCACGGAAAAGGTGAAACCTCCTTTTTTTAGAAATTTATAATTTTTTATTCACATGCCAAATTATATTATAATTTGTTCATTTATACAATCAATAAAAAAATAAATAAATAAAGAAAAGCTTATAGTCAAAAATAAATGTTATGTTTTTTTCTTAAAAATTTGGTTAAACGTTATACCGGAAATAGATGACAAATAGGTGAGCTAAACGTATGGATGAACTATTTAAGTAAATTCTTTCTTAAAATTATCCGTACGTAATAAAAATGCACATTTTAAAAAAAATGATTGAAATAACACATGAGTCTCATTTCTTAATCATTTTTGGAATATTGTGCGATGTCGATCACAATCATTTTTTGTTCAATCAATTAATCATTCGTAATTAATTGCAAAGAATAATATGAAAATAAATTTATATAGTATTATACAACAAATATTATATGTTAAACGGAGATGTGACCATAAATGCATGCTATTAATATCGTAAAAAGGAAGAATTCTTGGTCATGTGCCAAAGAAATATAAAAACAAATTTCCGACAATAAAACAACGTAATTAATGTTATTATATTAATTACGTAATGGTCATATGAATATTATATTTTTATACTTTGAATCTGGTCAAGATTGGTCATAATTTGTTAAATCTTTGTAATAAAAAATTTAAAATCATGCATCGAATAAATGTTGTATTCAAGTCATATGATTGATCAACAAGGTATGACAAAATTATTTTAGTACAAATAACATTTATGCATGAAATCAGATTTTATACGTTTAAAAAAAAAAAAAAAAAAAAAAAAAAAAAAAATTCTTTTCCAATAAAGTATTTCAAAATAATTATTTAAAAAATTAAATTATTATTCAAGTTTCATGTCCAAAAAAAATTTCCAATAAAAATATATAATCAAAATCATTATTAATAATAAGGATTACATGTCCGACATAAAAAATAATAAAGTTACCGTAAATACAAATGAATGGATTAATTGGATTGAAGAAAATATTTTTAAAAATAACTTAAAATATTATGATTATAATGATTTTCTATATATTGAAAAATTCTGTAATGGGAATTTCGGAAATTTTTATCGTGTAAAATGGAAAAATTCGGATCATTATTTTATATTAAAATCTTTTAATATTGATAATGTTGATATAAAAGAAATCGTTCAAGAGGTAATTTTTTTTTTAAAAAAAATATTATATTTTAATTTAGTAATTTATAATAATTTAATTACTAATTTATTTTTTGTAAAATTTAGATTAAACTTTATCGTGAAATTGATTCTCATGAAAATATCATTAACTTTTGTGGAATTACAAATAAAGGTATATGCGTATTTCGAATTTATAGATTTTTTTTTTTTTTTTTAAAAAAAAAGGAAAGAAATGTTCTAATACATTAATTAAATTATTTTCTTTAGAAAATCATAATGATCAAGCGAAAGAATATTTATTAGTAATGGAAGATGTTGATGGTAGATCTCTTCGTAGTTATTTGAAAGAGAACTTTAAGAATCTTACTTGGGAAGACAAATACAAATTGGCGTACCAGTTAACATATACTATATCATTTTTACATGATAAAGGAATTATACATGGCGATTTGGTAATTAAATTATTTTTTTCGTTAAATTATTTAAATTCACTTTACGGTTTGATCGCTTATATTTTATTTTATAATAGAATTCTGGTAATATATTAGTTCATAGGAATACTACTATAAAATTAGTAGATCTTGGATTATCAAATAGAATCAAAGAAATATCTAAACAATCATCAGATTTACTTGATAAAATTCCTTATATTGATCCAAAATGTTTAATTGTTGAATCAAATAATATAGTACGATCGTTTATATTTAATGAAAAGAGCGACGTTTATAGTATTGGAGTACTTTTGTGGGAGATATCAAGTGGTAAATCACCGTTTGAAGGTAAATTGTACGATTCTAATTTGGTAAACCAAATTTTACAAGGTTACAGAGAAACTATTGTTTCAAATACTCCTCTTGATTATTCTAATCTTTATATCGGTAAATATCGCTCAAATTATTTTTTGTTTTAAAAATTCTATTGAATTATTATTTTATTCAATTTTCACATTTAATTAATTCTAACGTAATTCTAACGTTTGTCGGATGGTGTCTTAGAATGTTGGAATGGAGAATCAGATAATAGACCAGTAATGAATCAAATAATTTCTAAATTACGAGAAATTATTAAGATACAAACGGATGATAATGAAAAGTTAGATAACAATCATAATAATAATAATGATTTATTTAAAGAATCACAAAAAATTATTATTCAAAATTTTGATAAAATTTATTTGAAAGAAATAAAAGAAACAGAACCAACAATTCAATATATTCATAAAAATATATCTGAAGAAGATTTAGGTATTGTGATTGATGAATTAATGAAATTTTATCTTCAATGTTTAAATAAAGGTAAAGAAGAATATGTTATAAGAAGATATATTTTAAATTATTTTAATAATCAAGAGATAAAATTACAAGAAATTTATAATTGGCTTTTAAATAATAATAATAATAATCAAAATGATTCAAATTCTATTTATTTACTTGGATATTTTAATTATCATGGAATTATAACTTGTACTAATAAACATAAAGCTTATGAATTATATCAAAAAGCGGTGGAATTAGAAAATGTTGTAGCACAGTTAGTTCTTGCTAGTATATATATAGAAGGAAAAGGTATTAAAAAAAATTATAATAAAGCTTTTGAATTATCAAAAAAATTAGCAAAAGTAGGAAATCCAAATGGAATAAATAGGTTAGGATATTGTTATAGTATGGGAATTGGAACTGAAATTAATATGAAAAAAGCATTTAAATTATATCAAAAAGCAGCAGATTTAGGTAATATTAGAGCTCAATGTAATCTTATTAATTTATATCTTGATGGTGATGGTACAGAAAAGGATTATAATAAAGCTTTTGAATTAGCTAAAAAATCTGCAGAAGATCATTCAGATGGAATGAATTTATTAGGTTATTGTTATAATAATGGGATTGGAACTAATATTGATAAGAAAAAAGCATTTGAATTATTTCAAGAAGCAGCAAAATTGGAATGTTGTGATGCTCAATATAATCTTGCTTTAATGTATGAAGATGGGGAAGGTATTAAACAAAATATAGATCAAGCCATTTATTGGTATAAAAAATCTGCTAATCAAGGATTTCAAAGTGCACAAAATAAATTGAAATATTTAGGACATAATAATTAAAAAGTTTATTGTTTTAATAAGTAAATAAACTGATATTTTTTTTTATCCTATTAATGATTCTTTTTTTTAATGTTGAATATAAATGTATAAATATAAATTATATAAATTTCTCTCGTTTGTATTATTTATTGGACGTTTCTTTAATTTTCGTTTAATGATTTCGTGCAAATATTCGATACTGAACATTTGACATTAATCATTTCTTAATTACATAAAGTAGTTTAAAATAGGGATTACTATTGTTAGTTGTTACTATTGTTTCTCTTAATTATCAATCCTTCACAGCACCAGTATAACTGATATGTCATTTCGATGTGCAATGTGAAATCAAAAATTTAACTCAGCATCACCCAGAAAAGTGGACACGAAAATAATTATATATTTTGTGATGGTCTATTTTATAGTTTATTTATCATATTATATATAGTTTGTTTTTTTTATCCTTTTCTCTCCTTTTTCTTTACGATATATTTTTTATTTTTATTATTTTTCTTCTTTTATGATATATTTTATTAGTAATTTTTTTTTTTTACAAAATGATTTGTCAAGGCTACCACAAACAAATCTTAATGATAACTTGTTCTTTAACGCTAAAATGCCCGAAAATCCAATTAAACAATGTATTAATTGTCATCAACTACCAAACAAAATAAACAAAAATCTAAAGAAAATATAGATAATGATTATGTCTAAATGGATTCGAGAGAAATTTCTGATCACCTTTCCGAATTGTTAACTGATTCAATTTCTATTAATGACTTTATGATATAAATGACATTCAGTTTATAACAAAAATTGTTATTAATTTAGAATGGTTGGTTGAAAAACTTTCAACAGATATAATTTGATGCTTACAAGTCAATTATCAAGTTTACCAAAGATGGAAATGTCGCATTAATTTCACTGACAATCATTTCACCAACAATTATCTCACCGACAGTCGTTTCGCCGACAGGGTCATTTCGCAGACAAATGTTTTGCCGACAATTATCTCACCGACAAGGGAATTTAGGAATTAGGTAAGAAAATAGGGTGGGATTGGGTTAGGATTAGGTTAGGGTAAGTGGATTAGGATTTCAAAACTGTCGGTCTCGGTGAAATGAGCCAGTCCCAGATGGAGATGGGTTTTCTTGTGTTTATAAATCCAAAGATGGTCACAAAAACGTCACAATTTTGTATGTATTTTCTGGTATAATTGTCGTCAAAGAATTAGTCCAAAAGACATTACAGCAAATTGGTAATACAACTTTCAGGGCAAATTATTTTAAGAATTATTTAATGGAATTTTAGTAGCATCGAAATGATTTGAATGTCTAATGACATTGGCACGCCAAACAACATCAAAAAATATTAATTTTTATTATAATAAATATTAGGTAAAAAGAAATACATGATATCCATTTATAATATTAATCTATTTAATTTGGCTCTTAACATTAATCTACAACAAGACTTTTTTGAACCAGTTGAGCAAAATATACAATATGAATTTGAAGAAAGAAATAATAAAAATATTAATTTGAGAATAGATGATATTGAAAAAGAAGAATATTTAGAGATAAAGTGTGAATTAATTTCATTGATGGTTGAAGAAGTAGAATAAAAGAACTTTTCAAGTAAGTAATATATTCTGTTAAATTGTTAAAATATCTATAGCAATATATTCAAAAAAATACTCTAATGTACGTCCTAAAACTATTGTTTTAAAAAAAAAAAAAATTGACGATTAAATTAAGATCTGCATTAATTACGTAATGATCTTCGTGACCACTTGTTGAAAAATGATTGCCCACGTGAATTTCTGTTACTCGCATGATCATGATCACACGGCAAATATATCTATATTTGTACAATAAATGTGGTATAGTGAGTGTACAACATGAAACGTCATTAAGTAATACAATATGATTAATATTTTTTTTAACAAGAGAATTTTCTTTCTAAAAATGTTCAATTTAAACGGAGACGTCCTCTATTTGATATTTGAAGAATTACAAAATGATAAAAAGACGCTTCGATCATGCATTTTAGTTAACAAGACATGGTGTGAAATACTTGTACCAATTTTATGGAAAAATCCATGGAAATATTTGAAGGGAGGAAATGAAAAATTATTTTTAAAAGTTATTGTTTCACATTCAACAAACGAAAAATTAACAAATCATTTAACAAAACGTTATAAATTTTTAATAAATTCATATAACAAACCGTTATTTGATTATATTAGTTTTTGTAGACATTTAAATTTAAAAGAAATTGAAAAGATAATAATTAATAATATAAATGAAGAAAAAGAAATTTTAAATATTAAACAAGAAATGTTTAAACTTTTTATTAATGAAAATACAAAATTCACACATCTTTATATACCACAAAAATTTGATTATAAAATACAAAATATTCCTGGAGCTAAACATTGTTTTTCAGAAATTGGATTTCTTAGTTGTAATACTAATATAAATGATGAAGTATTAAATGGATTAACAAAATTTTGTAAATTAATTAAAGAATTGGAACTTTTCATTCAAGATGATAATAATAATTATGAAATTATTAAATTGATTGAAACACCAAAAAAATTATTTAGTATTAAATTCATAACAAAGTGTCATTATAAAACAGATGAACCATTTTGTGAAATTCTTGAAAATTCATTAATTAAACATGCAAATATTATACAACATTTTACTACAACAAATATACCTGTTACAAAGACTCTAACTTCTTTTGTAAATTTAAAAAGGTTGGAATTGGATGATAATTTTAATGAATTAAAGGCATGTAATTGGTTGGAACGATTATCATTTCCCTTTTTACAAGTTTTAAAAGCTAGAAGAGTTCCAATTAAGGTTATAATAATATTAATTGAAAATTCAAGAGGATATCTTAATGAAATAAATATTGATTATGTAAGTCATGATGAGAATAATAATAAGAGGATCATTCAAGCTATTTATCAAAATTGTACATATCTCAAATATCTTAAATTGGTCATCCGGAATAGTAATATATTAGAGTTAGAAAAATTGTTAATTAATTGTCAATATTTGAATGGTTTATATATTTTAGTTAATAATATGTTTGATAGTTATAATATAGAACATAATGATAGGGTAATTGATTGGGATCATTTATTTGAAGTTTTGGCCAAATCTTCACCAAATTGTTTATTTAAATTTAAATTTTATTTTAATGAATCTCCAAAATTAGATTCTATAAAATTATTTCTTGATAATTGGAAAGGAAGACATCCAATTTTATTACAAACTACTCCACTTTATTGTTCTAGCAATTATTGTTTAAATAATATTGATTTTATGGAAAGATATAAAGCAGAAGGAATAGTTGAAAATTATGAGAATGTTTCATATGGTCAAACTTTTGATGATTTTGAATGGATTCAAAAAAAAGTTAATTAATCAATGATTAATTACGTTTATAGCAATGGGCTTTTGATTATGGTTGACATTTTTTTTTTCAAATATATTAGTCTAGCCTATTAGGGTTGTGTTTGATCTTAGTAGTCCATTATTTTTGCATAAGTTAATTATAAAAACTGTTAAAATTAGGCATGATCTTGAGTGACATGCATAACAATACAGTTATTGAGTGGGAGGGTAACATATCAATCACCCTTATTTGTTTGCTTATTATATGTATATATTATATATTACTTGTTAAATGAATATTTTATCATTATTATTTATTATATTTTATATTTATTCTCCCAATTTCGGAGTCTCATTTATTTAAATTTATTAAATATCGTTTAAAAAAGAAAACTATCGTTACGTTTAAATTTAAATCTTGTTTATATTATTTTTATATCGCTTAGTATAAACCCAAACCCGAGGCATATGATAATAATTACTTGTTTTTATTGTAGTAAACTTTCGGAGATAATCGAAAAAATCATTGAGATCTATCAAAAAATGGGGCGAAATTTTTTAATTGGCATTTTTGTGGGTAAGGTATCAATGCATCCAGTGCAACAAAATGAAAATGTATCACAGTATTTTATAGCGCTTTCGAATGCATTATTAATTTCTCTTCCGATAAAAATTAAAAAATCACTTCTCTTTGTGACGACGGCAGATTCTTATTATTTACGAATTTTTACTGGTCGACATCCGGATCACAAATTAAGTGTAATTTAAAATTAATTTCCTTGGTCATTAAAATTCTTGCCATGTTTTTCCGTGTGATTTTATAAACAATATGGACAGGGACGAATTAAATCATTTCTTATATAATTCGTACAACAATTAAACTTCATGCACAATAACAATAACATTTACGAAAGTTATTGACTAACTAATTTACTAAAGAAATAATTTTTTTATAATAACTCTTTTCAAAGTCTATTAATAAAAATATAATGCAAACTACAGTCAGAACTCAATATAACGAACCATTCGATTCATTAAAAAGTATCGCTATATCAAAATTTTCTTTGTAAGTTTGATATAACGATTTTTATATGTTCATATATAAAGATAAATTTTAAAAAAATTGCTTTATCGTGAAATTCATCGCATAATCGTTATATCGAGCTAGGTGCAGACATTTGAATAGTGACATATCTGACGTATCTCAAGTTGCGCCATATTGTGTTCTCTTCGCAAAATATTAATAAGGACACGTTATAAATAATGTCATTGATGCGGGGGAATAACTGGTTAATAAAACTTTTTATCTCTAATTATATTAAAAGAAAATGAAATTAATAAGTTGTAAAGAAAAGTGGACGAGTATTATTAAAAGAAAATCATGATGGTGATCAACTTTTCCCCTTTATCATTCATTATATGACTAACATGGGTTTCTCCTTAATTGTCATATGGTAATAAAATAATATGTAACTATATGGTAAGAGCATCATAATTATATTGATCATATTATCATGCATAAAATTTATTTTTCTAAATAGATCATTATCGTAAAAGATGTAAAAGAAGTGAATAATTTAACTTATTAAAATTCCGAAATGATATTAGACGGACTGATATTTTTTGTCAGCTAAAATTTATATATTTGCAATCATATAGACTATTATGAGTTTTAACAACCTATAACAGAATAACTAACGCAAGCCACTGATTTTATTGATGCGCAGTATATCATAAACCTATATTGTATCACAAAGAGTTTGTACAACTAGAAATACTATAAAAATACCTATCCTTTTAATTAATTTTTCAAATCCCATCTCTGCAATAATAAACTTTTGCAATAATTTTCCATATTCCTTACTTGAATATTTTACGTGTTTAATAATATTTTACGCGCTTAATAATATGCACATATAAAAACATGGGAAGAATTGTTAAACATACTATGACCGTTAGTCCAACTTCCAAGTCTTGCAAAAGTTTAAGGCGTCCACGTAAAAGTAGGAAAAATAAATTATTTTCAAGTGTCATATTAAAAAATTTCATTCCAGCCTCTGTTCTGCTTCTCCTTTACCAGTCAAAAGAGTAGAGAGAAAGTTCTAAGAACACTAGAACTGCGAATTACCTTTGTATGAGATTTACAAGATTTGGTAAAGGTGAAAGTAAAATAAGGTAAAAGACCTGTTTCTTACTGATAACACACGCGTCATCTCAGGATACCGAATCATTATAATTATGGCAGGACCATGATAAGGATCCTCATACGCATACTTTATTGGAGTTGGAGAAAAGTATGTTAAGTGGGGTGGTAGTATCTGATTTGCGGTCCCTAATAAGGGTGACGTTAAATTCCTTAATTCCTATTCGTTTTCTTGATAGACTATTTATGAATTTCCTTTTGCTAATTAATCGTTGCAGTGACCCGTGTTACTCATACATCGGTACTCTTTAATTTTATAGGACAATAGCAAACTGGTAATAATTAATATACACATTGTGTTCGTCATTATGGTAAAGTTGTTCAACTGTGCAACCTAGATCATTGTTCTCTTATAGGATGCCGTAGAAATAATATTTTTTTTTTAAAAAAAAAGGTGATTTTTTTAATTTTACAGTACTTTTGTTTTCGTTACAATTTTTAAAAAATTATGACAATTATGGTTCTTTATAATTAAATTATAATTTACATTTATATGCGGAAAAACGTGAAACATATACAAAAAAAAAAAAGATTATTTTAGGTTTCATTGAGTAATCCATGTTCTAAGAAGTAGAAGTGAGAATTGGCGATCATATGAACCGATCCAAAACGTAGTGTAATAGACGCAAATATTAATAATATTTTCAAAACAGTTATTTACTGCACTATCAATATCATAAAGTTTGATTTACTGTGACTCATAAATAAATACTTTTAATAATAGATCTGATATACAGTACATCGATATCGCAACTTACAATCACTGTCGGTCTAATTGTCCAAAGTATTGGGGACGCAGGATAAATGGACGTATATCCTATATCTTGCTAATGGTTGTTCTGGAGCTAAATGTTACTGGCAAGAATCACTTGAAAACAAGATTAGAAATTATAAAGAACAGATAATATAAACAGTGCTAGTTTAAAAGAAGCTGATTACAATGAATCAATTTAACCCTTATCAATACATGAACAAAATGAAATTGATAAGGCTGTTTTGAAGGCATGGGTAGCGCATTCCGTTTTGCATTTGATCATCATGTTTAATAATATTGAATAACCGTTTAAAAAAAAAATATAATCAATTCAAAAAAAATGGAGAAACTCTCAAAAATCTAATATTACGAATATGAGTACTTTTACATTAAATTACAATCCACTAAAGAAATTATTTTTGATAAAATTTTTATAATTTTTTTTTTAATAAAATTTTTTTTTTAGGATCTAGATTAAACCTTGAAATGATTTTACAATATAAATATTATTCGCACTGAATATTTTTTTGACTAATACTGTATTTTATAAAAAATTTTTGCCAATAAAATTTTTAGAATATTGTTAAATTATTAATCAGAAATATAAATATTGATGGCAATAATTTATGATTTTTTTAAACGCGTTAATGGTTATTCTTTTTTTGTGGGAATAATATTAATTTCTTTCGTACAAATAATTTATTTATATGAAGATTGTAGACCGATAATATTGTAATTTAATATAATTATAGGTTATATGATATTTATTTTGATTACCCCAATTAGTCATTGTCATATTAATTATAATTCCTTAATTTCAAATGTGATAAACAAAATTTTATTGTTGTTGAAATATAATGTTTCTACCATAATTTGCACACTTTTGCGGAGTAAAAAAAAATTTTTAAAATATTTACTAAATTATTTGAATGAAGAGTTAAAATAAAATTATTAAAATTCATTTTATTAATTATTTCACGCAGACAATTAAAAAATTAGAAGTTAAAACATCATAATTTGATGACCTAACTTAAATTAGAGGTAAAATGATCGACAGTTACCTTTGGCGTTCAGTGATACCATATTTATAAATAGTTAGACAAAAAAAAAAAAAATTTATTTATAAATAGCTAAACATAAATAGTTGAAACAAAAAAAAATATTTCTATTTTTTTTTTCAATTTTCGAAAAGCATAAATTTAAATTCCACAGTAAAATTTTTTTCGTACCAAACTATGTCTAATAACGCTGAACAGCCTGAACTTGTTAGCAATTCAAATGATTGGAATAAATGGATTGAAGAAGAGATTTCTAAAAAACTTATTAAGTATTATGAGTATGACCAATTTTATGATATTCAAGAAATTGGTTCTGGTGGTTTTGGAAAAGTTTATCGTGCTAATTGGAAGAATTCTCATAAGCGTTATGCAATAAAATCTTTTTTTAATATTAATGATGCTACAGTCAAAGCATTAGTTCGTGAGGTAATTATAATGTCAAACATTTTTCATTATTATTATAAATATTTTAGTTTTTGATGTAATAATTTATTTATTACCTAGATTCAACTTCTACGTGAAGTTGATTTTCATAATGTTATTCGTTTTTATGGTGTCACAACTTCTATTAAAGGTATGATATATTCTTAATATTATTTATTTCATAAAATATAATAATTAATTGATCAATAAAATTTGTTTTTTTTTAAAAAGAAAACCAAAAAAAAGAATATTCGTTGGTGATAGAATATGCAGAAAATGGTACCCTCCGAAAATATTTGAAAGAAAATTTTGAAAATCTCACTTGGGACAATAAATTTAATCTCGCATTTCAATTGGTTTATGCAGTATCATGTTTGCATGATAAAGGGATCGTGCACCGTGATTTGGTAGATATTTTACAATTTATTACTATGTGTTTTATTTTAATGATTTTCTTATTTTAACGTTAATTTAATATTGATAGCACTCCAATAATGTGTTAGTCCATCAGAATACTATTAAGCTAGCAGATTTTGGTTTATCAAAAAGAATTGAGGAAACATCTAACTCTCAATCGAAAACATTTGGATTAATTCCTTACGCTGATCCAAAAAGCTTTAATAGAAGTACAACAGAATTATATTTATTAAATAAAAAAAGTGACGTTTATAGCATTGGAGTATTACTATGGGAGATATCTAGTGGTCAGCCTCCTTTTCATGGTATACCGTGTGATGATGGTTTGGCTCTAAGTATTCTACAAGGCCTCAGAGAGACATCTCTTCCAAATACGTCTATAGATTATATAAAAATTTATACCGGTAAATACAATTTAACTATGACTTATAAACAATGTTGATTTTAATTAATTGAAGACGTTCTTTTTTGTAGATTGTTGGAATATTGAACCTGATAATCGTCCAACTATTAATCAAGTTGTTGAT